TATATATATATTAGAAAACTGTGGGCAGTCCTGCGAGTGACAGGGAGATGGGTACTTAGCAAGGTCTGCAGTTTGGGTCTGATGGCAGAAGTTACTTAAGAGATGCTTTCCTCCGTGCACACTTTTTATGGAAGAGTAGGACTTAATGACTTGCACATACTGGGTGTCAATACACAAGTTGTTGGGAAACGTAGCCGTTGACTCACTCAGCACTAGGTTTCTGTTTATCTCTTGCCTTGTTTTTGCTTCTGTGGGAATCGAAATCTGCTTTTTACCTCCTGCGCCAGCATGTGATGGGAGAGTAAGAGTAAGGGTGAAAAGAGGGTGACCTCGGCCCAGCCCTCAGGGCACAGGGAAAAGGAAAGTGGCTTTCCTGAAGTGGGAGGGCAGGATGCGGTGTTCCGAGCGCCCCTAACACAAGGGACACCCTTGCCCGCGCAGAGTGGCACCTGAGCCTGGCGCTCCTTGCTCACCAGGTCCGGTTTGGTTTTTCAGCAGGCCTGCATGGGCACCAGAGGCGGACTAGTCTCTAGTCTCAGTCTTATTGGTGTTAAGAGCAGTGGAAAGCAAGGGCTGGATGGCGTTTTTGAACTTCCAGGAGTGGGAGAGTGCATGTTAGCTCAGTTGTTTAAAACTCCTGCTTTGGCAAACCCAATCCGGTTCGATCCGCAACTCCACATGCCACACCAGACGAAGGCGGCCTGAGCCAGCAGGGAACGCCCCCCCCCCCAACAAAAAACCTTCTTAAACTTCTCACTGCTTGGCGATAGAGCTCAGGAGCACAAGCGCCTACCAGCAAGGCACAAGGGCCTGAGTTCAATTCCCCATAAGCAAGCAGGCTAAACCAGGCATGGTGGTACATACCTGTAATCCCAGCCCTTCGGGAGGCTAAGGCAGGAGGGTCATTGTGAGTTCAAGACCAGCCTGAACTGCATAGTGAGACCCTGTCTGAAAAAAGACAAAAATTAAATTAATAAAAATAAATAGGCTACTCTGATGAATCAGTTGATTGTCAGTGTAGCCTGAACACAAGTACCTGTTACCATTTAACATTTTTCATTGGGAAAGGAAATCTGAAACAGTGGAAGCTTTGGCCAACACATTTGGGCACATATTATAAGAGACTTAAATAACACACATGGTACGATTGCTTTTCCCCAAAGACCCACAGGAAAACTGCTGGTTCTCTGAGCTGGAAAGCTGAAAGAGGCTCCCCTCTTGCAGTGCCCCTGAAGAAGGCAGCAGGGCAGCCGCCTTGGGCCTGTGCGGTGCTGCCCTGGCGATGCCCTATGTGGCCAGCAGGGGGCGCTGAGGACCTCGGGTGCGCCCTGGCCCTTTCGCTAGGATGCTTGGCCCCTGCTCAACCTCAGGTGTTGGGGTTACCTAAAGTAATGAAAGCCGTGACCTCTTTTCAGAGCATGTATTCATGAACAGTGCTTTTATGTTGTCAATTTATAAAGTGGCTTACTCAAAAATAACTTCAAAAATTAAATATTAAAACATGTACTTAGGGGCTGGGGAGATAACTCAGCATTCTAAGCGCCTGCCTGGCAAGCACAAGGACCCAGGTTTGATCCTAGGTACCACATGCCACGCCGACCCTGGAATCCCTGGTGTGGCTCACACCTGTAATCCCGGCACTGGGGATGCTGAGACAGGAGGATCACTACTAGTATGAACTACATAGTGAGATCCTGTATCCAATAAATAAACAAACAGACATGTACTCAAGTACATCTTTAAAATGATACTGGGGCTGGGGATATAGCTCAGTGGCCTAAGTGCCTGCCTGGCAAGCGCAGAGTTCTGAGCTCAATCCCCAGTACCAAAAATAAAGACTCGGGGAAGAACGACGTTGATGATGTGAGCAAGAAAAGCATAAGCGAAAGAAGAAAAGCCGGGGCCGGGGAGATGGCTCAATAGGATAAGCGCTTGACTGGCAAACACAAGGATCTGAGTTCAATCCCCGGTTCTGGAAAAAAAAAAAAAGAAGAGGGAGAAGGAGAAGGAGAAGAAGAGCCACAAGCAGGGCTGGGAGTTGCTCTGTCTCGGGGCACCTGCCTGGCAGAAGCACGGTTTCTGGCACGGGCTCATGTTACCCATAGTTCGGCAGCACTGTCTCTCCAGTCCGTCTCCTCTGGTTCCGTGCGAGCGGACCACCCCAAAGCACAGTTCCTTGCAGCAGCACTTGGGCCCCATGGCTCGGGGGGATTGGGCCCCTCCGGATGTCACTCTATTCCAGCAGCTGGGGGGGGGGGTCTGTGGAAGTGGGTTCTGCTCGTCATCAGGGGCAGCTTGTATCCTTTGTCCTGTGTTCTCGCGTGGACTTTCTCTCCTCACAGGCCACCCATGAATTTACTATGTGGCCCTGGCTGGCCCTGAACTTTTGGTCCCAGGGTGCTGGAATTACAGGTGTGCACCACCATACCAGGACAGCATGATTTTTAAGCCTCCCATTTCTTCGCACCTTATTTTGCCTGAGCTTCTTTATCTTTAAAGGTAGATTATGTTTTCAAAGTTTTGAGGTAGTTTTGTGACCTCAGGGTTTGCAGAGAAATGTGTCACTCCCATAGCCAGCATGTAGGTGGCTTTGTGCATCTGGGGTCCTGTTTGGTCTCTGAGGGTCAGATTGGCATGGTGTCACCTGCAGGAACTCCTGTCCTTGGCTTGCTGCCCCTGCAGATGCCAGGCTGGCTCTTGTGCGCACGTGGTGCTTCCTGGCTCAGGAAGTGCACGGCCTGCACAGCTCTTCAGCTTCAGCTGTGACATTCACGCCATGTAGCTTCACGACAGCCTGAGCACAGAGACCGTGACGTCAGGTGCCTGGCTCTGTGAAAGCCCCTCCTGCTGCAGAAACAGCTCCGAGCCCCTGACTGTTTGTCTTTCTGCCCCAGGGAACCATCAGTGTTGGAGTAGATGCCACTGACCTTTTTGATCGCTATGATGAGGAGTACGAGGACGTTTCTGGAAGTGGCTTTCCGCAGATTGAAATCAACAAAATGCACATATCCCAGTCCATCGAGGTAAAGCTCAGAGCGCCTCTCCAAGTGCAGGGGGCCTACAATAATGAGGCGCAGCAGCTGGATGCGTGTCTGCTGGGGTTCTCGTCTTCATTCAGGAAAGAGCCGAAATAGCCACTGAAAAAGAGCGAGGGAGCCCTGGGCACAGCCTTGTGACTGCTGTGCTGCCTGGGAGCCAGTGTGAACACAGGGCCCAGCCCTCACCTGTTAGGAGGGGTTGGTGCCCCGGCCAAGAGGAGGCCAAGGTCGTGGTGTTTGAAGGCGGGAGGAGGATGAGGAGATCACCACATGGCCATGGCAGCTGAGCACTGGGGTCCCTGAATTGTCACCTTCCACACACTGCTTCGGGTGGCAGGGTCAGGACGGCAAGCTCCAGCAGCCCCCGCCTCCTTGCCTTGTTTGTTCACTGAGCCTGTCAGCCTGCAGTGTCCTTAGGCACTCTTAGAGCTGCCTGGGTCTGGTCATCCAGGCCCGGAAGTCCTCAGGCCCTGGGCGGAGCAAGGCCTGGAGTCCCTCGGCAAGAGGCACACAGCAGAGGGGCTGTGCTCTTCCTGCCTTGGCACACTCAGCCCCAGTCTCCCTGAGAGTGCCCAGCAGTTTCCGCTAATGCGCTTTCAGAATGTGGCACTGCCTTGGCAGCAGTTCAGATAAGCAGATGTCAGGGCCAGGGTAGCTGGGACGGTCAAGTCCTGCATGCACGCGGCCCTTACCTCTGTGCTCACAGCTGGTACGCTGCTGCTCTCCGTAGCATGTCCATTTCTCACTAGAAGTATCTCCCTAGGCCCCCTTGACGGCCACGGACACAGCCATCCTCTCTGGAAGCCTCTCCACACAGAATGGCAATGGAGGGGGCTCCGTCAACTTTGCACTGCGCCGAGTGACCTCCGCGAAGGGCTGGGGCGAGGTGAGGCAGTTGGGCTCCGTGGGGTCGTCCCGGTCCAGAGCCTCATGGCGTCACTGTGGAAGCAGTCGGGTCCCAAGTGGCAGGCATCAGGTGGCCCCAAAGAAGATGTGTCTGTAGTCCAAGAGGGAGTCCTGCCCATCTGTCCAGTAGCTCAGTTAGGACCCCAAGCCAGGCATGGTGGCACAGGCCCGTAAGCCCAGCAGTAGGGATTCTGAGGCAGTAGGATCGCGGAGCTGAGCCTGGCCTGGGCATCTTAAGACTCTGACTCAGAGGAAATAATTTTCAGAAGAGCTGGGGATATAGTTCAGTGTTAAGGCCCTGGCTCAATGCTCAGTACAAAAAAGAAAGGTGAAAGATGTCTCTTGAGATCGCACCGACAAGGGGCTGGGGAGATGGCTCAGTGGAGTAAGCACGTCCCTGGCAAAGCACAAGGGCCTGAGTTCAATCCCCAGTTCCACCAGAAAAGATCGCACCTCCTGGAGATCCAGGCCTGGGCGGAAAGTGTTCACCTGCAGGGAGCACGGGCAGCCAGCGCTGCCAGGCACACACAGCTCCATCTAATGGCTATTGCTGCCTTCCTTGAGGCGGCCTGATGGGCTCCCTGTGGGTCCAGGCCCATCGATGTCGGGGCGGGCCTGCTGTGCTGTGGGGAGCCCCTTTCTGCGGCCCCAGAATCCCCTGGGATCCCTGGGTGTGCTGTGCGTGTCGACATCCAGGCCCCTGCCACTGAGTGGGAGTATGTGTCATTAGAATAATTTCAGCATGAAGGCTGGGCAATGGTGGCGCACACCTGTAATCCCAGCTGGGGAGGCTGAAACAGCAGAATCACTACAAGTCCAAGCTGGTAGTGACATCCTGTACATATAAATGATAACATGTGATGGATGGATAGATGGATAGATAGATATGTTTTCATGTGTGGTACATACATACATTTATTTGTATGTGCAGGGATGCAGCTTAGTGGGAAAGCCCTGGATTCAAACCCTGGTACCAGGAAAAGCAGAAACCATTAATTCATTCTCTCTCTCTCTCTCTCTCTCTCTCTCTCTCTCTCTCTCTCTCTCAGTTGGAATTTGGAGCTGGCGACCTCCAGGGGCCCTTACTTGGTCTCAAGCTGTTCCGCAATCTCACGCCCAGATGGTAAACACGAGAGCTGCTCCTGGCCAGGCAGGCCCGGAGGGAGCCTGTGCGTCCTGAGCCTGAGGCGCTTGGGACACAGTGACCTGGGCTCACGGTGCGATGCGGTGCGGGCCTGCTCAGCAGCTCAGCCTGGCCTGTGCGGGGGAGGAGAGGGGGGAGGAGAGGGCGGGAGCCGGCGTCTTGCAGGCCGTAGTGCTTAGGGGCGTCCAGCCTCTACTTCACGTCCATCACTCCCAAAACAGCAGTGCCCTGCTTTCCTCCGCTGGGCAGACAGCTGCGGGTGAAACTCAGACTAAAAAAAGAAAAAACAACGGGAAGAATCGCCATGCTAATTGTTACTTAATGGCAAAGCTTTTCCCCTAGAGGGTAGAAAAGAGAGTCCTGCATGCTCACGGTGCCGTAATCTGGCAGGGCCACAGGTTCAGCCCTAGCCTGGGGGACTTAGCGAGACACTGGCTCACAATTTAAAAACTGATTTCAAAGGGGCTTCACAAGTAACTCAGCACAGAAGCCCCGGGTTCAGTTGCCAGTGTTGAAGAAAAAGAAGCAGAACTAGGCTCTGGGCAGCACGTCTGCCTTCAGGGGCGGGCCGTCCTGCTGCTGAAATGCGCCTCGCAACCTGCAGATGGCGCTGCCGGCCTCGGAAGCGCGCCTCCCAGCCTTTCCCTAGCGCACCGTGTGGACTATCAGGATCGTGTGGCAGCTTTTCACCAAATGCTGAAGCCCGCACCCCTGCCGGAAGTTCTGATTTAGTTGCCCAGGAGCTGCTGGAGGCAAATGGGCCTCACGACTTCTCCTGGGAAGCTTTTCACTTGCCAGGCCCCCCGGGGGAGCCGGGACCCTTGCCTAGCTGCACCAGCTGGCAGTAGTTCCGGGGCAGTGACACAGTGCCAGCGTGCGGCAGAGCTCTGGGGCACTGCGGCCCTGCCTTGTCTGAGAGCCTCCCAGGGTGCCTGGAACCCAAAGCAGGATCGCACTATCAGCCGAGGAGCACAGCGCCCTGTGGGAGCTGGGGGTCCTGTAGGTTGGCCCGTCACCTGCCTTCCGGCTGGGAGCTGGCCCAGGGGTTCATGGGAATGACACCAAGCAGGGTGTTAGCCTGGCAGATGGAGATGGCAGAGCAGCTGGAAGCAGATGTCCTCAGACCTTTCTGTGTTCCCCCAGCTTTGTGACGACAAACTGTGCCCTGCAGTTCTCATCCCGTGGGATCCGGCCTGGCCTGACCACCGTCCTGGCTCGGAACCTGGATAAGAACACAGTGGGCTACCTGCAGTGGCGGTGGGGCATCCAGTCTGCCATGAACACGAGCATCGTACGGGACACCAGGACCAGCCACTTCACCGCGGCCCTGCAGGTGAGCGGGAGCTGGGTGGCCACAGCCGGCTGCCCTCACAGTTGGGGAGCAGCCCCAAGGAGTGGCTCTCTCACCTAACACAAACCGGCATCCAAAGCTCTGCTCAGGAAGCTCACAGGTGGGGGAAGGCCCAAGGAAGAAGGCACCAGGCACAGCATGGAGAGGCACCCAAAGCCATGTCCCCAACCACCAAGTAGTGTGTCCACATTCTTGTTTGAGAAGCTAGAAAATAGTTTTTATGTGAAATGCCAGCATGGTTTTTGTTTAGGGTTTTTTTTTATTTAGAACAGGGTCCACAGGGTCTCACTACGTAGATCGGACTCAGTGATCCTCAAATTTACAGCCTCCCAAATGCTGGGATTATAGGCACACGCCACCCCCCCCCCAGTCTTAGTCGCTGTCTCTGTGCGCTCTGCAGGCAGGACTAGCACGGCAGGGGGATGGAGCCCCTGGCCCCTGCGTCTGCCTACGCAGGCACTCTAGTCCACTGAGCTATTTGGCCGGCCCCATGGTTTTTGTTTTTAACGTAGTCTTTTTTTCCCCTCTTTTTTATTACTACACACTTGCCTCACATGGTGAGTGCATTCATCGTGGGGGCATTGGTGCATAAACACATCACCTCTTGAGCTCAAGGCCGAGCACGATTAAGTGTGCACTGCACACCTGCCTGACTGCCAGGCTTGTGTTCGGGCTGTGCCCAGTGGGCTCCCCAGCGCTCTAGAGGCTACAGGGACCTGCTCCTGTCCCCTGTCTTCGCAGTTGGGGATCCCCCACTCGTTCGCACTGATCAGCTATCAGCACAAGTTCCAGGACGACGACCAGACGCGAGTGAAAGGCTCCCTTAAGTAAGGGCCCAGTGGGTTGGGGTGCAGGAGCTTGGTCTCCCGGGTGGGGAGTGGGCACGGCGCACACAGTAGCCTCTGCTCTGGCAGGGCAGGCTTCTTCGGAACGGTGGTGGAGTACGGCGCCGAGCGCAAGATCTCCCGGCACAGTGTCCTCGGTGCAGCTGTCAGCATTGGAGTCCCGCAGGGAGTCTCCCTCAAGGTCAAGTAAGTCAGACTGGCCCTGTGGAGCTGTGGTTGCCTGGCTCTGCATTTGGAGGCCTAGAGAGCCCCTTGCTTCTGTCTCCGCTACCTAAAGAGGTCAGTGCAGAAGGCACAGGGAACTAAGGAAGCCTTGCTGCGGCCGCCTCCTGGCGGCACTGGATGACCCCTGGTGGCTGGGCAGCTCACCGCCACAGCGCCCCCAAGCGCACCTGAAGCTTTCCCCTCTGCAGATGGCTCTGCTGCACAGGATTGAGCCCCAGCCTCCTGGAAAAGGAAAAGGCGTTTCCGGCCACATCCCGCTGAGGGTAGATCAGGGCGCAGACTCTCTCTGTCTGGGCCCCTTCCCAGACCTCGCCGCCCAGGTCCTGGCATCCGGGGGCACCTAGTGCAGCTCCGGCCTCGCAGGCTGGCTCTGGCTCCCAGACTGCTGCTACCAGAGGCCCCCTTTGGCACGGTCCTCTGCCTGGGCCCCTCCCAAGGGGCCTGTCCGTCTCTTGACTTCATTACCTTTAGGCGCTGACTCACCTGTCCTGAATCTCCAGCTCCACATAAGTGTACGGCCAGGCATCCTCCTTGAAAATTCTTGGGGGCCAGGGAGATAGCTCAGTAGAATATGTGCTTGCCTAGCAAGTTCAAAGGCTTGAATTCAATCCCTGGTTCTGCCAAAAAAGAGAAAATGCTTGGAGCCAGGCACGGTGGCTCATTGAGTCACCGGTGTTGCTGCAGTCCCAGCTCTGGGGAGGCTGAAGCAGGAGGACCACGAATGCCAGTGTCCATAGGAAGACCCTGTCTCAAAAGAACAGAAAACAGCTGTGTACGGTGACGCAGCCCTAACTTAGGGAGGCTGAGGCTGCAAGTTGTGTTTGTTTTGTTTTGTTTCTGTACCAGCAATCAAATTCAGGCGCCCCAGAATATTGCGCTTGCCAAGCAGACACTTCTTACTGCTGCCCCCTGACCAGGACAGTGCCACATTTGTGTCTCATTTAGAGCTGTTGTGGGACAGTAGGAGTCCGTGTGGGTCCCATGCACCATGGACCAGGCCCACATCTCCAAGGAAGGCCTGCTGTGTCTCCGTCCTGCTTCCCAGATCTCAGCTTGAGTGGCCCACAGCATCTCAGATGTCATCTAACACATGTCCACAACAACCTGGGTCACCACCGTGGCTCATGCACACCTCACTGAGGTCCCTCACTCTGCACACCTGACGAGAGCTGACATATCTTGGCATCCTGTGTCCACCCATAAGTGAGGTCCAGGTCTGCTTGCTCCGCTTGGCCCCTCTGCCGCCTGTGCCTCGTCTCGGTGGCCACAGCACCCTTGACTGATCTTCCTCACCCCAAGTCATTCTCCATGCAGGCAGAGGTCCCTGCAGGTCACCCAGCCCCTGTGAATCTTTTGCTCAGAACCATGGCAGCCTCCTGGGCCTACCCATCAGTCCTGCCCTCCTGAAGCCCTTGGGGCTGTTCCTAGGGCCACCAGCAAGCACTTCTAGCCACAGGTGGCTGCTTCCTGCAGTGGCCTCAGGCTTCAGGTTACAGGTCACTAAAGCTCAGAGCTGTCCTCCCCCACGCCCTGAGGGAGCAGCTCAGCTCTCTCCCACCCCCTGCTCTGGGGTGAGAGGGCAGGAGAGTGCAGCAGAGCAACTGCAGGCTCTGGAGCTGGCCTCGGCTGGGACCTGGGGATGCCCAGGCTGTAAGGGCACCAGGAGAGCTGTCCAGTTGCTGCAGTCACCCAGCCTTTCTAAATCTGACCTGGGAGGGGCCGGAAAGGGCTGGGAAGAAGGCTGAGTAGGATAAGCACTTGCTTGGCAAGCTCAAGGACCTGAGTTCAATCCCCGGTTCCGCCAAACATAAATAATCTGCCCTGGGGCCTGGGTGGTGCCATCGTCTGCCAGGGTCCATCCAGGAGTGACCCCACTCTCCCCAGAAGCAGACCTGGCCTGCAGTAGCCTCACAGGTGTTCTTACAGTTGTTAGAGCAGTGTGAATGGCCCTTGCTCAGGACACACAGATGGGAGGTGTTGGGGATGGTTCCAGAGTTGGGGTCACTTGCTACACGTAACATGATCTTGGAGGGCCGGGGAGATGGCTCAGTAGGATAAGCGCTTGACTGGCAAATGCAAGGATCTGAGTTTAATCCCCGGTTCCGCAAAATAAATAAGTAAAAAAAATTTTAAAAGGCCGGGGAGATGGCTCAGTAGGATAAGTGCTTGACTGGCAAACACAAGGATCTGAGTTCAATCCCCGGTTCCACCAAATAAATAAATGAGCTTGGAGGGCTGGCCAGATAGCTCAGCGGATTAAAGCGCCTGCTTAGGCAGAGCACGGCAGCCCACGTAGTACCGCTGTGCCAGCCCCGCCCCCAGAGCATGCTGAGACAGAGATTGAGACTGGGCACGGTGGCATACATGCCTGTAATCCCCGCACGGGAGACTGGTCTATGTAGTGAGACCCTGTAGACCCAGTCCTAGACGCTAAAATAAAATAAAAACCATCTTGGAGTAGGGCCCAGCCTCTCCCCCGCACCAGTGCACCACGCCGCGAAGCACCTGGTCTCACTGCCGCTGGCGTGCCTGTATCCTTCCGCCCATCGCAGGAGGGCAGCTGGGTTTCTGCTGGGCCGTCACATTGGTCCTCAGAGGCTTCAGGCCTGCAGCCATTCTGGCTATGCAGAGGGATGCCCCCTCTGTGCCAACCAAAGTTCCTCCCACAAGGTCCAGAGGCGGACCAGAGCGGGCAGTTGTACTTCACGGACCTCCGGCCTATACCTCATTTGTTTGATGAATCACGGCAAAGTCCTAAACCAGCATTACAGCCACTCAGATGCCGACAGGAAGATAACAAGTTCAAGCCCAGCCCAAGCAGCTTGGCAATTTAGTAAGACTGTTTAAAAAATAGGGGCCAGGGATTTAGCTCAGTGGCGCAGCGCCTGCCAGGCAAGTTCAAGGACCTGAGTTTGATTCCCAGTACCAAAAAAAAAAAAAAAGGTGCCAGGCAGGAGGATCGCAGAGTTCATGACCATCCTGAACTACCTAGCCAGATCCTGTCTCAGAAAAGCTAGCAACAAATGCAGCAGAGCATGCTGGCTCACTTGCCCTCCGGCCTCTTGCGCTCACTAGTTCTGAGTTCCTCACAGGTTCTCAGGATGTCACGCTGCTTGAGCTCGGCAAGCCCCGGGTCCTGAGTCTGGACCAGGACCTATCTGGGGCCAGCGGCCCGGTGCCCAAGGGCATCCGGTGCCGGCCTACCCCCGGGATGCCGCCCCACCTCGACTGTGTCTGTCTCCAGGCTGAACAGGGCCAGCCAGACCTACTTCTTCCCCATCCACCTGACGGACCAGCTGCTGCCCAGCGCCGTGTTCTACGCCACCGTGGGGCCCCTGGTGGTCTACTTCGCCATGCACCGCCTCATCATCAAACCATACCTCCGCGCACAGAAGGAGAAGTGAGTCTCGGACGGCACCTGCGTCCTGGGACTGCAGTGGCAGAAGGGCATGCAGGGCACCGAGGCCGGGCTGTCGCGGTGCTCCGTAACTGTCAGCTGGTCCCAGCAGAAGTGTCGTCCTGCTGTCAGAACTAGAGCCTGCCTGTGAAGTTGAGGTTCTTTCTGTCCAGGAGTGGTGGCACACCTGTGATCCCAGCACTCGGGAGGCTGAGGCAGGAGGACTGAAAGTTCAGCACAGCCTGGGAAACAGGCTTAGATTCTTTTTTTTCTTTTTGGTGGAACCGGGGTTTTGAACCCAGGCCCTTGTGCTTGCCAGGCAAGCGCTTATTCTACCGAGCCATTTCCCCAGCCCCCAGACTTAAGATTCTATCACAAAACAAACAAGATGGGGGATGGTACTCAGTGCAGAGAGGCCTTAGGTTCAGTTGCCAGTAGGAGAAAAAACAGAAACTGTAAACCATGACAAGAGATAACCTGTTGGGCCTGGCATGGCAGCTCCTATCTATAACCTCACTACTCAGGCTGCTTCCGTAGGAGGACGGAAAGTTTGAGGCCAGGGGCGGGGGAGATGGCTCAGTGGAATAAGTGCTTCCCTGGCAAGCACAAGGCCCTGAGTTCAATCCCTGGTTCCACCAAAAAAAAAAAAAAGTTTGAGGCCAGCCTGGGTGACTTCGCCAGGCTCTGAGAATAAAATACAAAAGGCCCAGAGGGGCACAGCTCAGTGGTGGAGCACCTTCAGGATGGGAGCTGGCACTGCCCGCAGGAAACCTGGGTGGGCAGAGGGTGGGGAAAGGGAAGAGCTCACCTCTCAGCCCCAGCCCTTCGGGTGCCGTGGGGCCTGGGTTCCAGCTTCCAAGGGGCAGCGCCCTCCCTGTGCCCTGACATCCTGTGATCCCAGCTCAGTCCCTGCAGCTGACCTTCGCCCTGGTGATGGCACTACCCCCAGGCTAGACGGGTGCCTGGGACTTTGTGCGATCTCCTAGAAGGGGCACAGAGCTCAGCACACAGAAAGTAGGCAGGGTGGGGTCCCAGTGCCCCTGAGGTCCAAGACGGGACAGGAGGCCTCCGTGGTACTGGTGGGTCCTGTGCCCTGCTAGTGGAAAGCAGTTTTGTGCCTGATGTCACTTGGGCTCTGACATCTGCATGGGGTCAGGTGTTTTCCCCAGAGACAGCAGTGGTCTCCTGAGGGCCCATAAGGTGGCCGGCAGTGGAGCTGTCCAGAGATAGTATTCTGCCTGGCCTGCCACTCCTGGCCCCCTGAGGTGGAAGTTCCAGGACTAGAGCAGCACTGAGCTCACAGACTGTGCATGGGGCCAGCGTGGGGTCCTGTTGTCCCAGTACAGGGTGACACTTCATTTGTGGCTTTGCTGCTTTCTTGAAGGGAATTGGAAAAGCAGAGGGAAAACACTGCCAGTGACATCTTGCAGAAGAAGCAGGAAGCAGAGGCTGCTGTGAGTGCCCATCCTGGAGTCCATGTGTCCCAGGTTTCTTGTCTGCGTCTTTGTAAAAAAAAAAAAAAAAAGTGACAGGTACAGCGCTGGGGACAGCTCAGTGACAGCACCAGCCTGCAGTGCATGGCACCCCTTGTCCCTGGCACTATAAAGAGCAGAAGTGACTGGACAAATGGCCAGCTATTGTTGGGGTGCCTGTGAGGAGAGAGTGTTGAGGCAGACACACGGATGGCCCCTGGCAGGTAGTTGGGGGTAAGCAGGGCTGGGCAGCATGGCTCCCTCTTCCCAGGGAACTGAGTGCAGCGTCTCCTGCGCACCAGTCAGAAATGCTGATGCCTCTGGTGGTTACTGCCCCCACTGGGCTCTGAAGAAGTGCTGCTTCGGGCCAAGCGCCCGTGCAACCCTGCCACTGCTCCTCTCGTCCTCGGCAGGTTCGCCTGATGCAGGAGTCTGTTCGGAGAATCATCGAGGCTGAGGAGTCCAGAATGGGTGAGAAGGCGCTGCCAGCTAGCCGGGTGGGCCCCGGGCCCCAACAGCTGCCCTCTTTGGAGCTGGCTTCAAGGAGGCTGCCTCTGTCCTGCCCACTCTGTCCTCAGGGCTCATCATTGTCAACGCCTGGTATGGCAAGTTCGTCAATGACAAGAGCAAGAAGAGGGAGAAGGTAAAGGTGATCGATGTGACCGTGCCCCTGCAGTGCCTGGTGAAGGACTCGAAGCTCATCCTCACAGAGGCCTCCAAGGTACAGCCCTGCCTGGCCCCCACCAGAGAAAGCGTGGTCCAGCCCTGGTGGCCGTGGCATCCTCCCTGTGTCTAGTGCGTGCTTACCCGGCCCTTAGGCCACGTCTGCCAGTGCCTGCAGCTCCCCAGAGAGGCAGTGGGGACTGCAGAATTACCTTGTGGGAATTACCCCAGTGGAGCCCAGTGTCACACCTGGTGCTGGGCAGGGGCGCAAGAGACATGCATGTGTTGCAGGCGGGGCTGCCCGGCTTCTATGATCCGTGTGTGGGTGAGGAGAAAAGCCTGCGCGTGCTGTACCAGTTCCGGGGCGTACTGCACCAGGTGACAGTGCCAGACAGTGAGGCCCTGCGGATACCAAAGCAGTGTGAGTAGCTGCTTACAAGGCCCCCGGCAGGGACGGCTGAAGCTGGTGGCATGGTGGACAGTGACCCCCACCCCTGAGTCTCTCCGAGTGCTGCCTTGCCTCAGGGTTTTCACAGGGCTCTTGGCTGGTTGGGAGGCAGCCCAGCCCCAGTTCCTTGGCAGCTACTGGCGGTAGTGTATGGCTGAGCCCACACTAGCTTGCATTGTCCTTTCTGTCACAGCCCACAGGATTGACACGGATGGATAAGCTGCTTGAGATCCCGGTTTCAAAGAGGCATCAAGAAACCCTTTCCTGGAAGTCCGCAAATTTGAAAATGGGACACCCCCCCCCCCAGAGATCAGATTTCTATTTTATTTTATTCCTCTAGAAGGTGGTGCCACATGAATTAAGCGCAGGGACACGCACACACCGTAGCGCAGTGTTGCCGGGAGCACTGGGACAGGCGGGCACCCCGATGGAGACCCTGGAGGGCGGGTCCCCAGCCGTGCCCAGCAGGTTGCCCGCCCAGAGCCCTTTGGGTCCTCCCAGTGCCGCCAGTCCACACGGAGTTTGGGGAGAGCAGCAAGGACGGGTTGCAGCCCAGGCCCCCGAGTGGGGCGTCTGCCAAGCGGATCCCCACACCTCTGCTGAAACTCGCCTAGGGCGGGAGCGGACTGCGGGTCTATAAAACTGCTTTTTATCCGAGAACATGGAAGTTGGAGGCCGTCTCTTTCTTCTTGCTCCAGGGCCTCTTGAATCTCTCCTGGGCCCTGAGCTTGGACCAGAGCTGTCGCGCAGCCCGGCCACACGGCGGGGCACGGGGGAAAGGGCACAGCCGGCAGCACCCGACGCAAGCACGCGGTGCCGGGTGCGGACCCAGGCCGGCCGGGCCTTGCGACTCCAGGCTGAGCCCAGCAGGTGGCGCTGCGGCTCGGCAGAAAGGGCCAGCAGGCGGGGTTCGTGCCGGGGTCCTGTGCTGCTGCAAACAGCCCCCTTCCTCCGGTTTTTAAAAGCAGCCCCAGCGAACCAGTTGTGTCCTATTTATCTCCGTTTTTAAAGTAAAAGGAGGAAGTTTCTCTGCTGTGGAGCGGGGCTGCCGCGGCCCACACTGCATGAGCCCCACTGCGCGGCCAGCGCCCACAATAAACGTCCTGGACCCGAGCGCCCCGGCCTCTGCTTGCCCGTGGCGTCGCCCAGCTGGGTCCTCTGGGGGGCAGCCTGAGCTAGGGCTTCGGGAGGCCGGGAATCCCGCTGCGTGTTGCCGCCACCGCATCTCTAACGCGAAGCAGGAAGTCACTGTCTCAGCAGTGACAATCTGGAGAGAAAATTGGAGAGAGAAGACCAGCGCAGAAGGCCCTTTATTGGGTCAGGCCGGAACGCTGGGGGATCCGGGCAGGAGCAGCCCTCGCCCTGCACGCTGTGGGCAGCTGTGGGCAGGGGACGGCCCCCACGCTGCGGAGCTGAAGGACCTTGCCCCCGGCTCGCGCGCTGCCTGGCTGGGCCCCGCCGTCCCACCTGTGCCCTCAGTGGACGGCACCAGGTGCCCTGCCGGCATCTCTGCTGTGGGCGCTGACCCAAGTGTCCGTGCCCGGGGATGCGGCCACAGCCCCGAAGGCTCAGCTCTGTGGCTCAGGCCGTGGCCGGGCTCCCTGGCACCCCACTCTGCGGGCTCGGAGAAGGCTGCACATCCTGCGCAGCACCAGCCGCTGGGACTTCAGGCGCTTCCGGAGCTGCTCATTCTCTCTCAGCGTGAGGAAGAGCTTCCTCTTCAGCGCGGCCAGGTCCAGAAGGGCGTAGCTGTGGTCCGACGGCTGCCCGGGGAGGGGTCTTCGCGGGCCTGGCTGGCTGGCCGCTGCGCCAGCATCTCCGGCTGCTTCTGGCCTCGGAGGTAAGGCCTGGGGACAGAGGGAGCAAGAGGAGCCCGGCAGCCTGGGCCCCCGGGGCTGAGAAGGTCACATCAAGTTAGCCTGGCACTTGGACACTACTGTCCCTGTGCAGGTGGCCCTCAGCCACCTGTCCTGTTCTGCCAGCCCGCCCCACACCCCCCTGGTGCCGGGCCACAGCCTGACCTGTGTCACCAGCCCCTTGGTCCTGGGTGGCTGCTGCAGCTCCTCACGGTCAGAGTCCGCGCTCCAGGCAGGGCTGTCTCCCCCAGCCCCGGCCTCGGGATGGACCTGGGAAGAGCAGGTAGAGTTAGGCTGGCCGCGCCAGCACATCCTCACTGCCACTGCCATCACCCGTGAGCCCCACACAGGACTGTGCCAGACTGACCACACAGCCTCATCTCCCAGCTCTGGGGCAAGAGGGGACTCTTGCTGACCCCAGCCAAGCCCTGCGGTGTCCCAGGTGCAGGCCACTAGCCACAGCGTGCTGGGCCTCATCAGCTGAAGACCTCGCCACCACAGGGCCCGCTGCCCAGCTGCATGGGCACCCAGCCAGTGTGGGAATTAAACCAACCTGGAGCCCTGTCCTGCTGCCCACTCAAGTCCCCCTTTCTCCAGAGATGTCCCTGAGTCATAGTCCTGAGCAGGTCTCCTGTCACCTCAGCCTCTATTATTATCCATCCTCCGAGGGCCACCATGAGGTGGAACACACCAGGGATACAGACCACGGCCTGTGCCACACAGCAGTAGCTGCAGGGTGCTGCCCCTGGGGACCACAGACCCTGCCCCGGGTCATGTGACTGGGATGAAAGGGCTCTATACACACACACACACACACACACACACACACGCAGGGGCTACTGGTGAAAGCCCCAGGCCAGCAGGTTACCTGTGAGGTCACAGCTCTAGGAAGACAGGCCAAGGGAGGGACCTGTCGGGTAGGCAAGAGGGGCAGGGTCCAGGCAGGAGATTCTCCTTTTTTTATTTTCCTTGGTTCCCCCCCCCTTTGTTTTTTTTAAATAAGGTGTCATTGTACAGCCCAGGCTGGCCATGAGCTCACAGCACTCCTCCTGCCTCGGCCTCCCCAGTGCTGCCCTTGCAGGTGTGCACCACCACACCCTCCTCACATTCTGACTGGCCTCTTCCCCTGCAGTCACAGCTACCCTCTCAATCCCCAGAAAAGCAAATCATTTAGGTATGACGCTTTGTGGCATCTGCGTCCAGCTCTCCTGAGCCAATGCTGCCACCTCCACGTCCACATCCATCAGTCTGGCTTCCCAAAACCATCTCAAGGCCAGGCGTGGTGGCACACACCTGTAAACCCAGCACTTGGGGGCTGAGGCAGGAGGACTGTTGTGAGTTCAAGACCAGCCCAGGCCACAAAGTGAACTCAAGGCCAGCCTGAACTGTAGTGAGACCCTGTTTCAAAAAGACAATTCTCAAGGTCCCAAAGCCACCTCTCAGCCTAGCAAACCTACAAAAGCAAACCCCTTGGCCCACCTCCGCAGGGATGTGCCCTTGGCCAGCCTGAGTCCCCAAGGACCACACACTAAGCCTTCAGCTTCCCTAATGGTACCTTGCTCTGAAGCAAAAGCATGATTTTATTTTTTAAAACAAGGCCTCGGAGCCAGGGAGATGGCTCAGTGGAATAAGCGCTTCCCTGGCAAGCACAAGGGCCTGAGTTCAATCCCCTGTTCTGCCAAAAAATATAATAAAACAAGGCCTCACGGGCATGGGAGCTGGTGCCTGGAATCTCAGCACTAGCGAGGCTGAGCCAGGAGAATCACTGTGAGTTTGAGGCCAGCCTGTGCTACACAGTAAAACCTATCTCAAAAAACAGTAAGATGAAGTCTTGCTGTGTGGCCCAGCTGACCTCAGACTCCAGGCTGAGGCAATCCTCCTGTTTCAGCTCCCTTGTTTTAGAAAAAGCAGAGTTCTCTTAAGTCCCAGCACAGGGCCGGCAGGTGGACAGGGCTCAGGGTCCCCGAGGCCGCCCGCACCCTGGGCCCTGCGCACCGCGGCCTCTGCCCCGCAGACGCCACCCTGGCCTCGCGCCTACCTGTGCAGGCTCCCGGAAGGCAAACACGGTGGGCACGGCGTTGTGCTTCAGGTTCTTGCGGTTCCCGAAGGCGCTGAAGCACTCAGGCCGGAAGTGCTCAGAACAGATGACCGTGTGCTGCTTGGGCTTAAAGCCCGCCCGGCCCATGTTGAGCACCCATGCCTTCAGCAGCTCGGGCCGGCTGAACGGGAACCTGGGGCGGGAGGAGCAGGTCTGGGCCAGCCAGGGCTATGCCTCGAGGCTCATCCACCCCAGGGGACTGCACGGGCAGCTCTGGACAATCTGAGCCTCGCTGTGGAAACAAACAGCTACTTTCTACAGACTTTCGTCCTTTTGTGGGAGGAGAAGCAGGTTCTTGCTCTCCCTGCAATTCAGACTGGCCTGAAACTCACTATGAGCCCAGGCTGGCCTTGAATTCCTGTCGGTCCTCCTGCCTCAGCCTCCCAACCACTGGGATTGCAGGTGTGCTTTAAAAAAAACAAAAAGTGCCCTTCAGCAGCCAGTAGCCAGGCCCTGTTGTCGGGCTAGGGCCCTGGAAGCAAATAAAAGACAAACTCCCTGACTCCAGAAAGGAGAGACGGCAGGCAGCGACCGCTGAGCACACGCAGGAGCCCTGCGGCAGGCAGGGACAGCCACCGTGGAATGAGTTCCACTGGCGGGGCGGAGCCAGGGCCTGGAACTCTCCCGGCCATGCTGTAGCGCTGAGCCACGCTCTCAGTCCTCTTGAGGCGGGCGATCACCGGGCCGCCTTCCATCGTGCACTGCTCTGCCTCAGCCTCCGGAGGAGCTGAGACTAGTCATCACCACAGTGCTGAGCTAAGATGACCCTGAGCAGACACTGGAGGCCACGGGGCTCCGGCAGGGGCTGCAGGGCTGCGACAGAGGGGGGCTGCAGTATCCAGCCCAATGGATGGGGGTGCAGCGAGGACCACCACCCCGCCCAGGGCCTCAGGCAAATTCCAAGGCAGGCAGTGAGGTTTGCGGGTGGGACCTGCAGCCAAGACAGAGGGAAGCAGTTTCCTGCTGGCCTGGAGGTACAAACTATCCTCCCAACACTCTGGGAGGCTGAGGCAGGAGGGTGAAAAGTTCACACCCAACCTGGACTGCTTAGTGATTTACGAGACTTTGTCTCAAAATTTAAAAATTTTGAAAGGACTGAGGATAAAGCTGAGTGTGATGGCCCTGGGTTCAATCCCCAGAGCCAGGGGTAATAAAGTTGTGGGTGGAAAATAGGGAGCGCCCAGCAAAAGGAGCATCCAGGACAAAGAGGACCAGGATGTGTCAGGAGTCACACAGCACCGAGCAGAGGGCTGCAGTCCCAGCGATCGGGAAGCTCAAGTAGGAGGATCCCTTGTTCAAGTCCTGCCCGGATAACTCACCAAGACCTTGTCTCCAAATTTTAAAAGTTCAGTAAAAAGGGGCCAGGAGGTAGATGACACCTGTGGGTTTGATCTCCAGCACCACAAAACAAACCCGATGGGGTCAGGCCACTGGGCCTGGTGTCATGAGGGTCACTGGAGACATAAGTCTCAAACAGAATGACGGTGAGTGCCTTCCACCCCCGCCTATGCACAACAGAAGCAGAAAGATGCACATTTGGGCAGAGATACTTCCAGACTGCCCTGCGCACAGGGCTCCCCTTGCCATTGCCAAAACAAAGGAGCTACCCGATGTTCCCCACAACTGCGCACAGCTAAATTGTGACACGGGCATTCTTAGAAGACTATGCAGCCGTGAAAAGGAATGCCCGCCGCCACACGTGCCAAGGAGGCCTTTCACAAACATAACGGGAAGCATCACACAGAGCACGGCCAGATTCCAGCTCGACCGAAGGGCTGGATCCCGCGGAGCAGGGGGAGAGGACCGACAAGGGGTAAAAGCTGGCGGCTGGGGGCTGCAAAGCACGGCTCTCACTTTCCTGCGTGCACCTTTAGCTGGAGTGGGAGGCATTATAAAGGGCGCAAGGGAAAACAAGGCGCAGGCCGCCTGCCCTCCGGCGCTGTGCCCTGCGGGGAGCGGGGAGAGACAGCCCCGGGCTGAACGGGGCCAAGGGTGGGGGACGCAGTGCAGACCGGTGTGGCCAGCCTCCGGCGCCGCAGACTCCCAGAGCCTGCGGAGGCCGGGTTCCCCGCAGGGCACTGAGCGCTCCGACCCCGCCGCCCGCGCCCGCCCGCGCCCGCCCGCGCCCGCTCACCGGTGGAAGGTGAGCTGCTTCCTGCGGCTGCTGTAGCGGTTGCAGCACTGCCGGGCCGCGCACGACTTCGGCATCGCGGATCCGGGCCTGCCCCTAACAAAGATGGCGGCGCCGGGCCCGGGGCCGCGGGGCGGGGCCCTCCCGGGAGCTGGGGACAGCTCGCGGGGCTCCGGCAGGCCCCCCCCCGCGTCTCCCTGGCAACACGCGGCCCGCGTCAGCGGGCTCCAGGCTTCGCCCCAGTTGGCCAGAGGCAGTGGTCTCCTGGCTCCGGCCCCCGCAATACTCACATCAGATGCGTTTCAGAGCTGGGGCGCGGGTGTGGGCTCCCCTGACGTCACCGGGGAGCCCCACGGCCACTGGCTGCACCGCCGGCGCACACCTGTGACCTCAGCACTCGGGGAGGCCTCAGTGCCTAAGTTCGAAGCCGGGAGCCGGCGGCACCGAGCGACACCCTGCCTGAAGTTGTCCCTAGGCACGCCCACAGGCAGAAGGGGACGCTGCAGCTTTTCCGAGGGGAGCCCCCAGGGGCCGCCGCCCGCTCGTGTGACCAGGGCGCTGAGCTCTGGGCCCCCCGTGGAGGCCCATTTTTTTTCTCTCGTACCCAGGACCGAACTCGGGACCTTCTGCTTGCCAGTCAGGCGCACGTGCCGCTCTCAGCCCACACTCACTTCTGAGCAGCCATGAGCCGGGCACACCAGCTCGGGCTTCCCCTGCCCGCCCGCATCCCGGCACCGTCGTCGTCGCCGCAGGGGACGCCAGGGCCCCTCACTGCCCGCTGCACACCCGAAGCCAGACCAGACCCTCAAAGTAGCAATATCTTTATTTACAAAATATACATTCTCACGAACACCTCGCTTTGTACACAAACTTTACAATTACACAGAACCATGTAAACGATGGTGAGTGTCCAGCCTGGCTGAAGCCAGCGAGGGCCAACTTCCAGGGTGAGGACCTCTCCCTTGGCCACCAAGCAGCCCCTGGACCGCGGGTCGTGCCGAATTTGCATAAAGGAGCTAGTTAGTGGACTGGCCCAGCTCAACCCAACCCGAAACCAAGGTGCCTGGCGCGGCAAACACTCACGGCAACACATCTGTGAAAGGACACCACCAACTCAAGGGACAGATTGAGATGAGTATCGGATGCGTTCCAGAGGCAGCTTAAAACCTTCCAGAGCACAGAACAATCAATCACCAGAGTCGGCAGTTCTGGTCTAAAAATCAAGTGGATTAACTTGTAAAAATCTCCTGGAGTTTTAAAAAGGAAGAAACGCACTTCGCAACTTTGGTTTTTCTCACCGCGCTGACTGGAAAGGCATCGTGGGGCAGGTCTTTGGCGACTCCCTCCCCAGCCTGCCGAGGGTGCCCCGGGCCAGGGCCAGGGCCAGGGCCAGCCCAGGAACAGGTTGCTCTAGGCAGAGTTCACCCTCGGGCCTTCACAATAAACTTACTCAGAAACAGTTTCTACTTTAATAAACAGGGTTTTTAAAAACTAAGACAGAGGAGACTAGACAGAGTCCAGGACAAGAGTGGGTGAAGTAAAGAACACCCGGGGCGCCCTGTGGCTGCAGACCCCAGCCCTGGGCCCTCCACCCTGCCCACCTCAGAAGAAACGCCACTGCCCACGCACACATCACCCCGCGGACAGTCTTGAAAAAATAACCTGGGCGCCACTGGCGCACACTGCCAACCAGAGCAAGCCGCCCGCCCCCATGCCCTACTCTGGAGCCCCCGACCCGGGCACTGAGGGGCAGGCCTGCAGCCACCCGCTCCCACCAGCTCCCACCAAGAGCAGGGCTGTCATCCTAACCACGGCCTGCTAACCGTGTGTGTGCTACTGGACCGGGTGGGAGGAGACTCGACACCTGAGCGCGCCCACTCTCCAAACAGCTCTTCTGGGCCCCTGGGACCCCGGACGCCTACTAGAGAACGGGGACCCAGCAAGAGATCAGCCAATACTTCGGCTGTGTCGTGCAAAAAAAAAAAAAAAAAAAAAAGACTTGTACACCGTGCAAAACAGGAAACTGGGTTATGAACATGGGCCACCTAGACCCCCCAACCAATGCCCTTTCCAGAGAGGTGGCCACACATTGTCCCTTTTAACACACGGGGGAAACTAAAGATTCACCACAGCTCACCCGCCTCCCAACGCCACAGCAGCTCGTGATCGTGACCTCAAGAAAGGGCGACTCAGACAGTGGCTGTACAGACACTTAGGTGAGGCGACACTCAGGAAACACACACATATGGCTGTTGGGCTGCAGGCTGGGGCCACCGAGCCGCTCCCGCTCTTCGCCCCAGCCCGCAGAAGCAGGAGTAACAGCTGGCACTAGTTCCAAACAGTGGGAATCGCTAACAATGACAGTGAAACTTCGGGACCACACCCCCTCACGGCAGTGGAGGAACCAAGCCACCACGCCTGGGTGTTTGGTCTGCTGCCGCCGCCACCAGGAACACAACGGCGGCGGCAGCCTGTGCTGACGAAGGCTTTACGCTCGCTGGCTATGTACAGTTTCTACTGGGACAGCCTGTCCTCTGCTTAGGCACCTGAATAAGAAATCTGCCTGGCCGAGCGGGGAGTCCTGTGCTAAGTGGGGAAGGGCCTCAGCGCCCATCCCCGCCCCCAAGCCCAGAGTCTCCCGCCACCCAGTCAGTCCAGAAACAGCTTCCGGGAGCCCATGCGGGAGCGGTTGGAGCGGCGGATGTCAAACTTGGAGTCCCGGCACTTTTGGCAGACAAACACTTCCGGAACGTTGGACTTCCGGATCTTCGCACAGGACAGGTGGATCCAGGTGTGGCACTCGTTGCACTCTATCATGGGGCGGCCGGCAAATGGCTTCATGCAGAAGCAGGTGACCAGGTCCCAGGAATCATCATCTACAGAGGTAGGAACACGTTAACAGGAGGGAAAGCCAGGCGATGCTGCACCCCTGTAATCCCAGCATTCTTGGAGGCTGAGGCAGGAGGACAGAGTTTGAAGCCAGCCTGGAGAACTCAGCAAGACCCTGTCTGAAGATCTACTCCCACTGTCCCAATGCCAATACTCTGAACATCAAGTGAACCACAAAAGGGGCTGCAACGCGTGGTGACCAGGTACTACCCACCCTCACTTATACCCCCACATCCTCCACTCTGGTCTGGAACCCACGGCCCTTGCAGCAATGAACCCCTTCCTGAGCCCCTGCACGTACCTCCTAGCCTTCACCCTGCTCCCAGGTGGGGCCTGGCCTCTGAGCCCAGGACAAGACACTGCCCCCCCCCGCCATGTGTCTCCAGCCGCCCAGACACTGACCTGAATCCACCATGATGTCCTCATCGTTGCCGGTGCTATCCTCATCTCGGAACACCACCTGCTTTCCCTGCCGGACGATAGTCCGTTTGCCTTCAATTTTTATCTCCTTGACCTGATCAGGTGACACGGCGGTGGCGCAAGAGCCACTGGAGGGAGTGTCGGAATCCCAGCCTGAGCAGGGGTCTCCGGGAGCCTGGGGCAGATCCTGCAGGGAGGGGCTCGTGGGGGTCTCCGAATACGGATCTGCAGCTTCCAGCTTCAGCAAGCCCCCTCTGTAGCCCTCCTTCACGGTGACATCGCTGTCCCTTCGCTTCCTCTTCTTCTTCTTCTTCAGCTTATCTAGCTTCTTTCTGTCCAGCAGGAAATTGCTAGGCTTTGCACGCTGCAGGAGAGTGGGCTGCAGATGGCTAAAGCACCGATCAGACACTGGCAGGGGCACGGAAGTCGCCATGTCAGTGAAACCAGTGTCCCAGCCGTCACTGTCGATGGTGCCCGCGGTGCTGTTGGCAGGGCTGGGGCTGCTCCTCAGAGGAAGCTCCTGAAAGGCCCAAGGTTTGGGGACAGGCTCAAGTTAATCCGGCCAGGCCCAGTGACAAGAGCCAGCCCCCAGCAGAGCTTCTCTGACCACCCCCAGGACCAATTCCATCAACAGGCAGTGCAGCATAGCCCTGAACCACAAGAAGGGAGCACAGAGGCAAAGGGACCCAGGGCCTGGCTGCCACTCAGTCAGCCCCCCGCAAAAGGGGATGGGGTGGAGGCACAGCAGGACACTCCTGACATGCAGGAGGAAAAGCCTCTACATGCAAAAAATACATCCCAGCTGGGCATGGTGGTGCATGTCAACCCAGCAGGCCAGAGGCTGAGACAGAACTGCTACACATTCAAGAACAGACTGGGCCACATAGCAATACCCTGCCTCAAATAAACAACCTTCCAAAAAATGGTAGTCGGGCGTGGTGGTGCACGCCTGTAATCGCAGCACTCAAGAGGGCTGAGGCAGTTTCAGACCAAGCTGGGCTAAAAAGTGAGTTCAGGCCAGCCTGAACTGCACAACAAGACCGTCTCAAAAACAAAACAAAACGCCAAAAAAAGACTACTGTAGACATCCTTTTATAATCTCTCATTTTTCCCTCATTATAAAGTTTCTCCTCTTTTCTCACCAAAGACTTATTTTAATTTAACTTTTTTTTTGGGGGGGGGGACCGGGGATTGAACTCAGGCCCTTGCGCTTGCCAGGAAAGCACTTATTCTACTGAGCCATCTCCCCCAGCACCAATAACTAAATTTAAATTGAAAATCCCTGTTTTGCCTGGTAAGCACAAGGTCCTGCCTGGTTTAAAAAAAAAAAAAAAAAAAAAAAACTTCAGAGAATTCCTATTTTTGTAAAAAACCTGAAGCTATCCCATATTGCAAAACCAAAGGAAGTTATTGGTGCCCCAAAGCAGCAAGCTGAGCTCTGGTTCCCTGGCCGGTCAAGCACATTTGCACAAAGCAGGCATCCCCTACCTACCCGGCAAGGGGAAAGAACAAACCAGTGCCATGACTTTGCTTCCTAAAAGTAGTGGATTTGTCTATCTGCAGCTTAGCTCAAGAGGAGCAAGGCCTCTTAAGTCTGAGCCCCACAGGAGCGCTGATCCACGCTCCTAAACATTTCTCAGAGAAAAAAACTCGCCTCTCCACTCACACCTGGTGTAGAGCAAAACTCCCTGAAGGCTCAGGGATGTGGAGCTCTGAACCACAGGGCCAGAGAGGCAGGGTGTGGAGCTCAGTCCCGGGACAAGCTAGTTCTCTCTTTCCTGGGCTTCAGATGTCCTCAGCTTTAAGTTGCAAATAAAAAAAAAAAGTAGCTATCTGGCAGGCTGGGGAGATAGCTCAGCGGCAGCACAAATGCCTGCTTGGCAAATGCATGGTCCTAAGTTTGATTGCCCTCCTCCACAAAAAAAAGCCTGCAGTTTCTCTCAGAGCCTCAGCTGCCCTCAGTACCCCAGGAACCAGATTCCTGCCAGACTACAGCCTGTGTCCTCACCCAGTGCCCGCCCACCTGCCCTGCAACACCAGCCGGGCATTACCTCCTTCGGGTACGGAATGTAGCCAGCATAGGCCAGGACAAAGGTGCAGAACTTGTTGAAATCCTCCACGGTCCTGCGCCTCTTGTAGCCGGGGGAGTATTCCTGTGCCAGGGGAGAAGGGAGTGAGTCAGGGGAGGCTCCCACCAGGCCCAGCAATCGGGAGGAGCTGAGTTTCTTTACCGTCAGCCACTCAAAACCCAGGCTGCTGGATTTACAGCCCAGAAACAAGATAAGCTCAGTTCAGGTCAAAAAATAACACTTTTTATAAAACTGCAAGAGAAGGACTAGGATTTTGTGCCAAGAACACTGGGAAACCAGGGAGGAGATAAAAGTCTGCACAGAAGTCTACCTGTTGGAGCTCATGTGGCATTTTCTGACCTTATCTGCTGATCCCTGCACGCCTATCAGGACTAACGTCTTTGCCAGATTTTCCACTGGGAAAGAAACTACACTCAACTGAATCTGTAACTTAAGTACTTTAAGTCACTTCAAAAATTGAGCCTTATCGCTCCTAGCTCTTCGGATCTGACTGCTGCCCCCTCAGGGGCGTTAAGGACCCAGCTTGTGTCTCAGGGGGCCCCTCCACTCCCAACAGTGGAGGCTCGGAACGAACTAGAGAATTCGCCACCGCCCCGTGGCTGCACATTCAGATGCACAGGAGATGTTCCGGCTAGGGAGTCCCTCGACCCTGCCCCTCGAAGTGGAAACAGCCGCAAGGAATGGGCTTTTAGCCCTGGGAGGAGGCCTCCGTGGCTCCAGAAGCTGCGGGACAGCCGCGCCTCACATCATGGCCCTCCCACCCTCACCGGAGCTCCCCCGCTGGCCGGTCAGGGAATGGGGTACAACGGACTGTGGGGCGGTCCCTCGGTAGAGGGGCGGGGAGAGCAGCGAGGAGTAGGCAATCGCCCCTAAATTTTCCTTCCAAAACGCCACATTTTTCTAAAACACCCACAACGTGCTCCCGGCCAGCCACCTTCCCGCACGAGGAGGGGGCAGCCGCGCGTCCTGCGCGGATGCAAGGGCCGCACCCGCCCTCAACTCGGGGACAACTTTTAACTTCTGCGGGATCGCGCACAACTGCTCCGCGCCCGGGACGCGAAGGTGAGGCGGCGCCCGGGCGGATGGGGACCGCCCCGGGGAGGCAGATGGCCGCAGCCCCCGCTCGTCCGCCCCGCGCCGCGTCGCACCCGCCCGGCCCCGGAAGGTGCGAGGCCCACCGCAGGGTGGGGGCTGCGGGACGCCAGCAGGATCTCGGGGTCCCAGGGCTCGGGCTGCCCCACCAACCCCCCCGCGGGCGCCAGCGAGCCCCGAAGACTCCGGGCGCCGCC